CACACGCGAAAACGCACGCACGCACGCACGCACACACACACACACACACACACACACACACACCAATGTCAGTCATCGATGCAACCCTCGTCTTCGACGAACTGCTCGCTGCAGCTGTCGGAATCGGGGTCATCCTCGACAATCTTTGTCCGAGGCTTGCTCTTCCGGGTTTTTTTTTTCGGCTTCGTAGCCGGACTGGCAGTCTTGTTCTTCCGAGGCCTGCCACGTGGAAGTTTCGGCCTCGGCACATCGTCGACAGGGGGCGGCTTCCTCTTCCTCCCAACCTTGCTGACCCACAGGTTGTCGTGTGGGCTTCCCTCTATGTTGTCTGGGAATTCGGGGGATTCTCCGGTGACCCGGCAGGCTGCGCTGTTTTCTTCTGACGCTTGTACACGGTCGTCGGTGCATGTTGTTGCTGTTGCGGCTCCTCCTCACTGTTCGCCATGTCGTCGTGCTGCTGCTCCTCCTCGCTCTCTCCCACCCGTTCCGCATGTTGGTCCTCCAACCCCTCTTCTTGCTGGTCCGTGCCCTTCCCTTCGCCTTGTTCCATCTCCTCCTCTCGCTGCTCCATGCAAGCCTCTTCTTCTTCCTCCTCCATCTCTTCTTCTTCCTGCGCCAGGTGGGCCATCTCGTGTTCTTCCTCCTTGTCTTGCTGGCCCATCTCCTCCTCTTCCTCCCCCTCCTGCTGCCCCATCTCCAGCACAAGCTCTGGCTCATGCTCTCCAACCTTCTTCTTTTGTTTCTCCATTTCTCTACGGGTTGGTATAGCTGCTCGCCGCTCCTCCTCGTCTCTCATTCTCCTTTGCACCCGTTCGCGATCCGCATCAGCCATTGCCTTCGCACGATCGGCCTCCGCCTCATCCGCGTCGATTGGACCGGGGCCAAGCACCATGTCAATGTCGGTGTCCGTCTGCGGTAGCTCAACATCGGATTGGATGTCGTACTGTGCACTTGTGTTAGCTGTCCCTTGACATGGCGTTGTGGGCGGGCGTTCTCGATGGCACTGCGTTGTTCGCCTCCTCCCAACATATGTGGTGCCCGGGATTGAGGGCTGCGCTCCCAGCTCAAAGTCATCGTCGGACCCATCTTCTGCCTCCCCTTCGCTAGACGTTTCAGACCATGGAGCCTTTCCCTTCCATATCTCGTCCTCCAAGTCGCTGTCGTCCGTGCGCTCCTCTTCATCTTCTTCGAGGTTCTTTCGAATCCGGCCCTTTGGTAACTTGGTTAAAGCCCGTTCCCGCGCGTGCTCCTCCTCCGTTTTCCCCTTCTCCTCCTCGGGCACCTCCAAGAGAGGATCATCGCCCTCCTCCGCATTAGGAAGAGACTCGAAGAACTCCGCCCACAAATCGATGTAGTGATGGTCCTTTAAGTTCTTGCTCGCCCGCAACAGATTCATGTTCCAATGAATGTACAAAAGCTTCTCCACGGTCGCGGGCTTCAACCGATTCCGTCGCTTGGAGTGCACCAAGTCCATCGAGGACCAATTACGCTCCGCCGAAGTTGCAGTGCTCCACATGCCCATCACTTTGATAGCAATGGCCTGCAACTTCGGCACATCGCCGCCATGTGTTGCCCACCACTCCGACGGCGAGATAGTATCAGCATCCTGGACCGCATCCTCTTCCCACATCTTCTTGTCCTTCCGCTTGGGGTCGTATGCGGTGGGTCGCTTGTGAAACTCGGGTAGGTCTTTCATTATATCCACGTGCGCCTTTGACTTCCAAGGTCCACCAATTTGCCTCTGCAAATAACGCAGCGCGTTCTGCACAAGTGCGCTGTCCCGGTCCAACAACCATTTCGAATCTCTCCTCCGCGGGTCGAGAAGAAAAGCCAGTGCGTGCACAGGTTACCGCATCATCTTCATGCGGTCCCTCACCTTCTCTAGCACAGAACTTCGTTGCTCCGCTGTCAGCACAACCTCCGCCGGCATCCTCTCCATGAGTCGGTCGTACTCCACAAGGTTTGACGGTGCATTCCCGTCCTTGTCCATCCTCCGCAGTAGGAGATACAACGACTTCATCATCTCCACCACCTTCCTTAGCTCCGTCCACCAAGCATCCCTCCGCATTGTGAAGTACACGAGATCCGCTTTCGCTTGCAGCTTCGTGCTCGACCACCGCATCGCCTTCCATTTCCCCACATTCGTCGCGTCCACCATGTACTTCAAAACTGCCCTCCGGTTGTGTATCCGCTCCAGCATCCGGTACACCGACCCGAAACAGACCTCAGTCAGTCGCAACAGCGTCAATGATGAGTCCAAACTCATCATGAAACTGTTAATCGTGTGGTGATTCCTGATAAATTTGACGATGGTGTGGCCCTGCTTCACCGTGCCCTTCACCCACTCCAACTTGCTGATGTCCCTTAGGAGCAAGCTGCAGCAGTGTGCAGCACAGGGAACCCAAGGTATCCTTGAAACCACAGGGTCCGTGCGTCGTTCCAAAATTTGAGCTGCCCTCTTGTTCACCTTCGCGTTGTCAGTGCAAATCGCGTTGATGCGTTGCAGCCCGATCTCCCTCATTATTTTCTCCCATAGTTTCGCCAACGCTGCTCCCGTCTTCTTCTTGCCGTCCATGTACACTATCGCCACTAGAACAGCTCCCTCCCCCGCCACTAAGAAGTTCAAGACAGGCCGCTCCCTCCGATCGTTAGACCTGCCCGTGATGAAAGTGCAGCCGGACATCCCAACATTTTGTCAAAGGCTCCACTTGCTTTTGAATGCGCATGAAAATGAACTCGAGCATGACAGTCTGAATGTGCTTCGAAGACGGCAACTTCACCTGCGGTCTGGCGTTCGCCACCTCGAGATACACGTTGTGCAGCTGCTGCGTGGTGTCGAACTCCAGGAATTGGAATGCAATTCCGGCTCTGAACATTGCCTCGGCCCACGCGACATCCAACTTCTTCTGCGCCACGTTGTCGACCCATCTCTTGATGGTCGTTTGCTGCATTGAAGCTATCCTTGTGGTGGAAGCACCATCTTCTCCCGCCGCCTGTGCCGCTGCAGTTTCTTTTCCCTGCTGCACCAGCTCCTCCACTGGCTCCCTCCCAGCAGCAACTGACGGTTGTGGTTCCTCATAACCGCGAGGTACAACCGCACTCTCGTCGTCTTCGTTGACAGCAGCCCCCCCCGCCGAAATGTTGTGAAGCTGCTGGTAATTTTCCAGAAGGTATTGTGTCTTCTTGTCCTTCGGCAGCACCTTCGAGCCTTGGGCCACCAGCTTGTGCAATATCTCGCCTGTCCTGAAAGGGCAAGGCTTCTGCAATTTGAGGAAATGCTCAACGGCTCTTGTGCTCGTGCCCCTGTAAACGATCGAGCATAGCTGACACCGCAGCCAATACTCTCCCCGCYYCTTCGGCACARCCTCCTGACCTTKCTCCACGTGMTTCCACACCTCCYTCWCGCCCTGCARCTTCGTTTGCCTTCCCTCCGACTATGGGATGAACAAGGATGGGTCCGTAGCCGRYGTCGGGACTTTGTCAACCACCCCCGACGAAGGTGCGCTCRAGCTCGCAATGTCCTTCCCTCTACCCCCTCCTCTTTCCRGCTGCCTCCGGCTCCCTTCTCCACCAACCGCACCCCCTGCCCTGCTCCCGCTGGCCATGCTGCTGCAACCACGTCCTCC